GCTGGCGCTGGGCGCGGGCGTGGGCGCCGCGGGGGGCGCGGCCAAGGCGCCCAAGCTGGCGGCCGAGCGCTGCGCGCGCGCGCTGGGCAAGCGCGCCTCGGGCCCCTGGGCGCCGGCGCTGGCGCTGCGCAACCGCCTGCGCAAGAGACTGACGAAGTAGCGTAGTTAGTGTGAGCGTGGTTACCTGTGAGCGTGCGGGGAAACGGTGCCTTCTAGTACTGCCAAAGTACTCTTTGACGTTATTTATATTTTATCCCGCCGGGCGCGCCCGGACCGTCGTCGTTGTGCGAGATCCAAAGATGACTGCGTTGTATACGGTTGCATTCTGTTGTTGTTATTGTGACTCGACTTGTAGTGTTAGCGTTTTCGATTTCTTTCTACCGTTAAGTACTTTCCCCTCCCGTAGAATCTAGCGTGACCCTCGCGGGCCGCCAGTCGTTGCGTTCGTTCGTATCGCGGATGATTGTAAACAATAGTACAAAGAGTTTATTGAATTATTAACTTAAGGTTAACTCGTGGACCAGGCGGATTGAATTAGCCCAGATAGAATATTTATTTTATCTATATATTTATAGCTGAATATCATGGTATTGCATTTAAATGTAGGCGGATTATGGAAATATGATTTTCATTAGACGACGAAATGTCAGAGGCTACATTATTACATACAGAGGATTGTTATATACCCATAGCATATTGTTGGCTAACAGGACTAAACTTTCGAGATCTTGTCGTGTGTAAATTGTAATTATAAAATAACCAAGAGTGCTTTTTCAAAAGATGTAAAATAAGAGTGCTAATTATAGATTTATTGAAATAAAATTGACAGTACTAAACAGTTTTTGTACACTTGTCATTGGAAATTATGTGAAACAGAAATGTATTTTTTCTATGCAATAATAACGCTTAGATCTCAGAGTTATTCTTTTTGGAAAAGAATTGTTTTTGTATTTCTTAAAGTTTTATGCCTTTTAGTGTGGTCTAGGAATATGCTTCTTTCTATGTAATGACAATGGCTGCTTCTAAGAATGTTGCCATTGTCTTTACTTAGAAACATGGCGGGTAATTTCCAATTACACGACCGTAAAATTACAAAATTAGACCTCAGAATTATGTATCTTCAGGATAACCTATTTCATATCCCAATAACTCTTATTGTTTCTTTGTTAAACCCTAAGTTATATGTGATGATGAAACCATTGATTTGTTTAGAAACCAAAAAAGGTTTTGCGTAATTGCAAATAATATGTTGTTGCTGTTCATTATTAAGTTCATTAACTAACATTTATTTGGAGAGTTATAAATTGATGTAGTAATTATTTATGGTTACACTAAAGCATGGTTTTGGGTAAAAATTATGTAAAACTACTCGCGGCACAACTCGTTTATGTAGGCGGGCCTTACGGGAAAAGTGTTATTTTGGCACCTTGAGTCTTCATTTTTGAAATCAATGTCTGTGTAGCAGAAAAAGCTAGGTAGATCAAGTTCCGGAACATAACGAGGCCTAAACGTAACATGTTATGTAAACAATTTTATATTGATATAACATTTTACGAATTCCTATTTTGAATTTTAAAATTGTTCGTAAATAGAGCAGTGACATCTATTGACGTCAATTTGAATTAATTTAAAAATATAATGCAAGAGAACAATAAATAAATATTCGTCCAATAATTTACTACATCATTTGTAACATCTCAGTTTCATTTCGAATAATCAACAAATGTAAATTTGTTACTAAAAATGGACTGATATGATGACTATTTAGGGTGACATTAAAGTTTTCAAATAAAACATCACGTTTTTTATGGCAAATGTCGATCAAAACCATTAACTACAGATTAATAATCTTTGTCAATAACCTGAATCAATGCATTGTGTTTAATTTTTTTTAAAGTGTGTTAACTTAGCATTTTATATACAAACCAGAAATGTCACCCTTTGTACGAAGTAATTAATATATATTTAGTTACGACCCAAAAATTGTACGTGCGTCAACATAATGTTGCGGTGTAAAGCATAATACGTACAGTATACCTGTTAGAAAATGTTTTTTACGTGTAACTTTCGTTGCTGCACGTACACATTTACCATAGTTATAAAAGGTGCACCAAATGTATGGAAAAGTAGGCAATAAAGCCACCAACTTATGTATAGATATATAAATAATTAAATAATGTGCCTCGTTCGTTACCGATTACAACAAATACATAGGTAAAGTGTTCTTTGATAAATAAAGATATCTATTTTTTATTAAAAGTATAAGTAAATTTTATGCATTGTAATTTAGTTATAAAAGAAGATTTAATATAACTTGTTAAGCTTATTTGTGTAAAAGTTTGTATTATTGGTTAGTATAATAAAATAATATCCGACACTTGCATCTAGTAATTTTCGGTTCTTTAATATATATCTAAATGGACTTCCACTATAATATACATACATACAGTGTCACCTATATCATTCGGTATGTTTCTAAAATGAAGTAAATTTGCGAGGTTTATAACGCAAAAAAAGAGTTAAACTGGAGAACAGAGTTATCCTGTCAAATTAGTAAAAATTTTAGAAACTTACACGAAACTACGTCTTATTATCTACTTGATAGACTTTATTGTCTAAATGCTAAAGTTTATTTCTATGATGATATATATTGTGCACAGTATAACTGTGCGGTTTCTAGATTATGTACAGTAGAGGGCTCGAAATGTTTCCCACTTTAAAATTAAGCTTTGTATGACGTCAAATTGACGTTTAAAAGAAAATAAACTTTTCTCTTTAGTTATTATGAAATACATTTCACAGTTTTACTTTATCATTTCACTTTTTAGCTTTTTAAGATGTGAAGTTTAAAGGGGAAACAATTTAAAGACCTCATCAAAACATATCGACAGAAAAATAAAGTTCTTTTTCGTGTCATTCATAAATTTATCAATATATGTTTTAGGTTCTTGACTCATCCCAAGGATAACAACGAGTTAGCTGTCAATATAAATAAATCGTTGTAATTCAGACCAAGATATACAATGAAAATCATGATGTACTTAAGCACTTAAATTTTTCTGTTGTGTGCCCAACAAAGTGTTATCTTCCGTCAAGCTTGGTTCACAAATGCAATTTATATTTTTGTATTTATACACCAAGCTATATTTGCAGTTACACAAACGAATTTTACATATATAGCAGGCTAACCATTGATGCAAATAGACAAAATTCGCCAGTGTTGTAAAATTGTTGGTATTAGCGATCGTCGATCATGTTCGCGCCTGTAGAGATACTCGCGTGATATCATATTTTGTGAGTAAATTCACAGCTTGGTAATGTCCTTTTGTCTATATGCTCATGCTAAACTTGCTGAAACTTGGTCTTGCAATATTAGAGCACTCTGAATCGATGTAAGTGATAGAAAAAAATAAATTTTATAGAATGATAACAAATTAGCAACAGAAGGGTAAAATGCCTTGAGGATAGCTTAGGATCGACGACCGAGATGCTATTACCTAATACAAATATTAACTACTTATACACATTAATTTTAAAACTAAAGGATTATTGTAGATTTTATTTTTTGATTTAAATAAAGTTTGTATGAAATAGACGGTTGTTTGGTATTTTCGTCGTTAAGTGCTTTGATATCACAGATATCTGTGTTCGATCGATATCAACAATATATCTTGAATAAAAGTTGTATCCCGCTTATCAGCACGCTTCAGTCCCGCGTCCTTAGTATCACATTTATTTACGTAAAACGGGCTTAAGCCGGTCTGAAAAACCTTAATATCGATACAGTAAAAGCGAAAATCTTTGCGCGTTTTGCTTCCGACGACGCGAAACGCTCATGTCTGGTTTTTATTACATGGACTTACACACTTTTCCAACTAGGGTTATTGCAATTCCTTGTCGGATAAGTATAGTAAACGTGAACGCGTGTTTATAAGTGTTTCCATCCACACGCGTAATAATGCAGTGCACTATCGATAGTGAGACATTCAAAATCGACGCAGTGGTGAAGCGCGGTGGAACATTGGCTCCAACCTTTAACTTAGATTCTAGTATAGATTTCACATATCCAATATTGATCGTAAATTATCAATAAATATGTGATGATACCATTGCTTAGACTATGGAAACTAATATTATTTTTCCATCCTCTAAGTATCATTGAAAGGTAAAAGCGACATTGACGGAAAAACATTCTAAATCGTCAATTTTTTATCGAAACAATGTAGAGAAATTTGATATTAAGAAATAGAAATTAAAAATAGAAATCCAAGCACGCCGCCTCAAATAGCCTATCCTCTTTGTGGCGGCCATATTTACAGAAACATAATTAAACGAAGATATGGCTCAAAGGACTTGTATCCAAGCCAAAATTATTAATAAAAAAAATTGATGAAAATATTCCACCTCTAAGGTTGGCAAATTAAGGATGAATCTGGTTTATTGAATTTCACCCAGTTTCTGAAAACCGATTTTATAAAACGCGGTACATAGATAACGTGACGTTTTTTTCCCTCATATCAGGACTACTGTAATTTAAAAAATAATAAGACATGTTTATGATAAAAAATGTTTGAAGGAAAAAAATAGAACTAAAATTGTTTAATGAATCAAAAATTTAACTATAAAAAGAATTCATTTCTCGATGTTTGGTTGGCTGGCTTCATATATTTTTCGCTTTCGCGCCATTTTTTGTATTCTATTTTGTGAAAGCGAAACACTTTTAAGTATTTTAGGGACGTGGGATACGAAGCCTAAAAGCGGGATGTATGGTCACCGCGTTACACACAGATATACTTCCAATGAAAATAAAATGTTATGGTGACAATTAGAGCTGATCTAATGTTGGAAATGGCAGACAGATGAAAGGATCTTCTCTCATCAATCTGCAACAGTGTAGCAGCTATTTTGTGTTTGGGCTCATATTATGATTCGTTTTTACGAGGACTTCCACATGCGTTTTAGTTATCATTGAGGAGACCTCGGTAACGAACATAGCGAAAGCGGAAAAGCAAAGTTTTAAATAAACAAAGTTAGAATTATTATGTTGACAGTTCGACCCCGAAGTGCAGAGAAATGACACAAATGATGCCGTCCGCCTTTTAATTAGGTTAATTTTTAAACAGCACTCCGTGGCAACCAATAGTAAAGTTTAGAAGCCGCTGTACACTTATTTACACCATAGGTAAACTTTTTATAGTACTCAGGGCATTGAATGCGGAAGCTTGCCGCTTAATCCCCTCTATGAATGGAATAACCCGCCCCATTGTGCTCGACACCTGGGCCATTTACAACCGCTCCTGTTTACCCCACTATTTTATTCGGCTAGGTTATAGTTTAGTTCTAGCGAGCGTCCCGTACGCGGGAAGCCGGCCGCGGTAGTCAGTTGAGAACCGTAGCAAACGATACTCAACTGTTTATTTTATTACTTTATTTTCATTTGTGACTTTAGAATAAACTAGTAAAATAGTATAGTGACTGTGAAAAACTTGAGTGTAAATAGTTTGTGTTTAAAATAATAATTTGCAAACAAAACTGAAAAGACCACGCGATTTTAATCCCTAAATTTGTCGTTATCGATCGCTTTGACTACTGCAGTCCGTTGGTGCAAGATAGCGCTTGTTTATGTCTCGAATCGTTGTTTATTTGTTGCTGTCTTTACAATAGACTGTTATTATAAATAGGCATCGATGAAAGCTTCGTTTGCTTCTTATTTAGAAATTTATCTGCGTTCGAACTTATACGTAGGTAATTGTAATTTTAAAATTGATATTTATTAGAATTGTTTATCAATTAATTTCAAACGATAACGTCGAAGAATTAGACTACTGATGTACTAAATACGTGTCTATGGTTATCTGTATTTTAGAATGTCTACATCTATTTGCTAATTTCTCTTCATTTTGTTACAATATAAAGTTACCAATAATTGAATAGCGTATAATATATGTTATCTCTCAAAGGACCAGTTTTAAACTAAATTAATATCAACTCAACTGGGATCGGTCCATTATTTTGTGCGTTAAATGCCACTCGCATTCTTTATCTAGCCAGACTTGCCATACGAGTTTTTTTGCCTATTATTATTTGGCGATTTTCGTTCGTACATACACTGAGCTACACACATGAAACTTTACAAACAACAATCACAATTTTTTGTCATGATTTTAGGAGCAATTTTCAATAATTTGTATTGTAACCTACTATGATTTCGAAAATAATTGTTAATGTTAAAATTCAACGGTTGCATGAATTCCAGTACCAAATTAAGGGGAAACGTAGGTACTTAATTTTATTAGAACCTTTGAATAATTTGGTAGGGTAAGGCTCTCTAGGCAAAATACGTCTGGATACCAATTGTTATAACTTTTTTATAAAAAAGAAACCGGCTTCTAAAGTCTGTGGAATTACATCTATTTGCTAAAGGTGGATATATTCTTCAAATTTTAACTGCAGCATACCCCATTTCAATCCCAATCAAATTGAGAGCTTCCTCCTTTTTTTCAAGTCGGTTAAAAGTAGCACTACTTTGTTCTAGATTGAAGGTAGTACTAAACATAATACTGGCGGTTTGAAACGCTATTTAAAATTTAAAATTTTAATTGGCAAATCTCATTTCAACTCTATAATGATTAGATCATAGGTTTAGTATATATTGAAAACTCTTCTGATTAAATAAAACTGCAGACACACATTAAAACAATATATTCTTCCCGAAAAACACTACATTCCTTCGGCCGGATCGGCCGCCGTCATTAGAGCCAAACTCTTGACAGTTCTCGTGCATGGTAGCAATTAGCAACTTATTATAAAATAGTTAGAATGAATGTTATTATAATCGTATTCCTTGTATGTAAATTAATGAAACATTAAAATAACTTAATTCCTATTGCATATGAAACAAAATAAACTTTATTTCATTTACCGATTTCATTTAAGAAGAACGTCAAAACATAACTACATAATTTAAGAGCCTTACAGCCACAGACATATATCTAGATAGACGCCGCAAGTACAGCAATTTGTACGAAAACCGAGCGTGCCACATTTTATGTATCCACCATGACGTCACAAGAACTATTTAGTGATGGGAAACCACCTTCCGCGCTAAATCGATTGATTGAACGGAATACACGGACCTATTCCATTCAATTAATCAATTCAAGTATTCGTTGATTACAAGTAGTCGTGCAATATTAATATAGTGGAAAAATACCAAAACAATATAGTTATGTCCTTTATTAAAAGTTGTTTTAAAAAAATTTTGATTACTTAAAAATTTAAACTTTAATTTTTAATCAACTTCAAATATTAAAATTATTGTCCTTGAAATAATATAAGCTTATTATATAACTGTCTTATTGTAATACAAGATCTTATCGATTAACTTAAATAATGAAAAGCACCTCAATATGAACTTGCGACTGTCTTAATTTATTTTACTAGATGGTTTCCTGTTGGTAATTGATCAAATTGATGAATGGCAAGACAAATGAAAATCTTACTGCTGACAAAATATGGTAAAATCTTATTGATTAGAAGAGGTTTACTTAATGATCGCCTCGTGTGCAGTTTTTGTTATTTGTTTATTATTTCTCGGATTTCTAACTCTTCTACTGTGCATATGTGGATAGCATCTTAGGCGGGATAAACAAGACCACTTTCGTCCTCGAAAGCAACGATCTCATACGTATGATCAACTCCAGGTTTTGGTAAAGACAGCGCACTGTTAATTCTTTGCATTATACATTTTTTGTATTATTTAATATGTCATTATTGTCTCACTATATTCGGACATTTGAGGCAACGTGCTGCAAAAATTATCCAAATTACAGATACTACTGATAATAGATACTACAAAACTGAAAAAAAAAAACGAAACGTTACTAAACGTTATAACAAAAGAGTTATAGAATATTTTTATAATATTGCTAAGGTCATAATAATTTTCGTCCCTTTGTTTTCAAAACCGATCAGAATCGAGAACAGTGTTGCCTAACGTATACAT